AATTAGCAATATTTCTGTGTGAAAATTCAAGATATAGAAGTCAATAATATTTCTTCTAGTTATAGCTGGAAAACAGAATTTTTAAAACAAATTTATATATGTATATAATCTATAATAGCATCAAAATAGTAAATGTGTAGGAATAAATCTAATAAAAGATGAATAATATTCCAGTTGAACAAAATGAAAACTTTATTTGGAAAATTTTATAAATATATGTATCGATAGCCATACATAGTTCATGGATTAGAATCCTGATTTTGATGATATCAGCTCTCCCCAAGTTGATCTGTAGATTCAGAAAAACCCAATACAAAATCCTACCAACTTTTTGAAAAAAAGGTGACAGATTGATTTCCAAAATTAATATATAAGGTATCACTGAAAAAGACAAGTTTGGTAAATTATTCATTGACTTTAAAATGTTATTATTAAACCATACTAAACCAGGTGTCATGGTATTGGTGTGAAAACAGACAAATAGATGATGAAACACAATGGAGAGTAGAGAAACATAAATTACATGTGGACACTTCATGCATGACATAACTGCAAAGAGAAAGAGTGAGAAAAGAATGATTTTCAATACATGGTGTTAATAAACTGAGAGTGCATATTAGAAAAAGAAATTGAACCTGAACTTAATATTATTCACAAAATTTCACATGCATTACAGATATAAAAACACACTGATTTTCGGAAAATAATACACAAGAGTATCTATGTCATCAGGGGTAAAAAGAGTTCTTAACCAAGATACAAAATGACTAATAAATTATTGAGATATTTGACTTCATAAAGACTAATACTTTCATAAATATTTTATATGAGATAAATATTTACTATATAAACATATTCTAAATAAGTTTTAAAACTAAATCTGAATATATATCCCATGACCCAGCAATTTCACTCGTACGTAGGTATGTACCTTTGGATGTATGCCAGGATATCAATTTTAAGACATTTAATTTTATAGTAACATTGTTAACAATAACTGCAAATTGAAAACAACTGAAATGTTCAACAAAAGTAGAATGAATGGGTAATTTGTAGCATGTTAATAAAATGCACCAATGAAATGAACAAATTAGCAGTAAAAAGAATACAGCTACACTCAACAGCTTGAATGAATCTTTAAAACAATGACTAATCAATTTTTAAGTCTTCTATATAATTAAAGACACCATAAAAACAAAGTTAAAAGATGGGCCACACACTTGGAAAATTTGTAATAAATATGTACAAATACCATCATGTCAATAAGAATAATACAAAGGAAGATGAATAAGTATGTGAACAAATAATTCACAGAGGTTTTAATAGCAGCAAACATAAATAAATGCTCAGACTCAGTAGTTATTAGAGATTAAAAATCATTTATCAGTCAAATAAATGATAACAGTATTTTCACTTTTGATAATATCTGATGTTGGTAAACATGGGAAGAAGTGATACACTCAGAGACTGGTGAAAAAAGTAGAAATAGATTCAGATATTTTGGAAAGTAACTTTATCTGTTGAAGTGTTCTTTATCAAAGAAAAATATCTGAGATAAACATAATAAGTGTCTGCCTAGGCTGCTATAACAAAACAGCACAGACTGGGTATTTTTTTCAGATTTATTTATTTTTATTGGTTGTTCAAAACATTACAAAGCTCTTGATATATCATATTTGGGTATTTAAAACATTTTATTTCTCACAGTTCTAGAAGATGGGAAATCCAAGATCCAGTAATTTATTTTATCACTGTGAAAAAAATTTCTGTTCCAATTTTCTTTTTTTGTTATAAGTATTTACACTATTTAGATATATTTTCAAATTTGTTTGAGAACCTACTCCACTACTCTTTGGCATAATATCTATTAATATCTGGTTTGTAGTTAATGCCATAAGAGATTGATGGTCCACCAAATACACTGGGTTTTTTTTTTTTTGTGCACCAAATACTTCTGTTTTTATTCATTTGATATAATTGAAGGGTTATGGAAAATAATATTCTTACAAGACAACTCCCCCCACCCTACCCCCACTGGCGTGGCAAGCCATCCATGGGCTGTATGTGTGAACTATGCACATTTGAGCACATGAGGGAACTGGACTGATGTTGCTGCTCTGATTGGGCTGGGCGACGTATGTGTGCCTTTTCTCTTCCTCTGCCTATGACCCTACACAGCACCTGAGATGGGTGTGACTCCTCAAGATGTCAAACTGCTGACCAAGATATCACCAAGCAAAACTCCACCCTCTGAAACCCAACCCCTTGTTCTCTTGTAATATTACCCCTTTGCCTTATTTGTATGGAATGTTCTAAGGAACAGCTTTCCCCAATAAAAACCAGGGTTGGGGGCGTGCTCTCTCTCTCTCTCTTGCCTGACTCTCTTGCCTTTCTCTTGATTCCCTTTTGGGAGCTGAGTCCAAGGAGCCATCATTGCACCCCCCAAAATGTATTTTCTGTGTTTGTGCGGTTTTTAGTGGCCAGCCCAATTCACACAGAGTGAACCCGATTCAGTCTTGTGTGGACACCCGCCCCCAGGAAAAAATAGAGAGACACTGTGTCTCAGGAGGAGGGAGGAAAATTAGCCAAATATTAAACTTCTCCCAGTACATTCTTTCTCAGTAACAATGGGCTCCAAGGAAAAAAAAAAAACAAACTTTCATCTTTTCCTAGGTCCATCCCCAGCATCTCTGCCAAAAACAAACATTCAACATTCACCCCTTCCCAAACACAATGGGTCCTGAAGGGAGGAGGCAAATACTGAAACCTCGGACCCCAGACTTTTAGCCTTTCCCATTGCAGATGAATTTTGGAAGGAGAAAAAGCAATCTTATATTTGTTGATTGATTGTATGTCCTCTTCTGAGAAGTGTCTGTTCAGGTCCTTGGCCCATTTGTTGATTGGGTTATTTGTTTTTTCTGTGCTTAGCATTTTGAGTTCTTTTTATACCCTAAAGATTAGTGCTCTATCTGATGTGTGAGGGGTAAAAATTTATCCCAGGATGTGGGCTCTCTGTTCACCTCCTAGATTGTTTCTTTTGCTGAGAAGAAACTTTTTAGTTTGATTCCATCCCATTTGTTGATTCTTGGTTTTAATTCTTGTGCTATAGGAGTCTTATTAAGGAAATTGGGACCTAATCCCACATGATGGAAATTAGGGCCTACTTATTCTTCTATTAGATGCAGAGTCTCTGGTTTAATTCCTAGGTCCTTGATCCATTTTGAGTTAAGTTTGTGCATGATGAGAGATAGTTTAATTTCATTTTGTTGCAATCAGAGAAATGTAAATCAGAAATACTCTAAGATATTATCTCACTCCAGTCAGAATAGCAGCTATTATGAAGACAAACAACAATAAGAGTTGGAGAGGATGTGGGGGAAAAGGTACACTCATACATTGCTGGTGGGACTGCAAATTGGTACAGCTAATATGGAAAGCAGTATGAAGATTCCTTGGAAATCTGGGAATGGAACCACCATTTGACCCAGCTATTCCTCTCCTCAGTCTATACCCAAAGGACTTAAAAAACCGCATACTACAGAGATACAGCCAGATCAATGTTTATAAGCAGCACAATTCACAATAGCTAGACTGTGGAGCCAACCTAGATGCCCTTCAGTGGATGAATGGAATAAAAAAATGTGGCATATATACACAATGGAATTTTACTCAGCATTAAAAGAGAATAAAACCCTGGCATTTGCAAGTAAATGGATGGCCTTGGGAAAGATAATGCTAAGTGAAGTTAGCCAATCCCAAAAAAACAAATGCTGAATGTTTTCTCTGATATAAAGAGGCTGACTCACAGTGGGGTAGGGAAGGAGAGCATGGGAGGATTAGATGAATTCTAGATAGGGCAGAGGGGTGGGAGGGAAAGGGAGGAGCAGGGGATTAGCAAGGATGGGGGAATGTGATGGACATCATTATCCAAAGTATATGCATGAAGACTTGAATTGAGTGTCAAAATACTTTATATATAAACAGATATGAAAAATTGTGGTATATATGTGTAATAAGAATTGCAATGCAGAGTACATGTATAAAGGCATGAATTGACATGAACATACTCTATATACAAAGATATGAAAAACTGTACTCTATATGTGTAATAAGAATTATAACCCATTTCACTGTCATGTATTTTAAAAAATAAAATCAATAAAACTAAAAAAAAACAAAGAAAAGCAATCTTACTCTGAAGAATTTTATACAAATTATTTTTCCTATGTTGATCTTTTTCCTATTAGTAAAAGAACAGCCTAAATTTTACTAGGTCCTGTTGACTTTTACTTCTCGTGCTCTTGACCATTTAGATGCACCAATTTTCCTGTTTCTTCAGTATAACACTAAATATATCTTTCATGTTCATATAAATTATAGCAAAGCTATTCATTTTTAATTTTATTATGAATTTTATTTTCATCACTATCGGGTTCTGGATGAATAATAATATCTCCTGTCTCCCTCTTTTTTAATGAATCACAATGGTGTTAGGAGAATGATCTAACAAAACACAACTAGAGAAAATACACTCTCTGTGATCATAAAATTTTCATGAAAGTTCTTTTAAGTTGCATTTGTACCTATTTTATCCCAAAGAAAATAATCTGAAATACATAAAACATTCTATTGTGACTAAATTTAAAATATCAAAGGACTAAGAAATATCTAAAATGTATCACAATACAGCAGTCATTAAATATTTTATGTATTTTGTGGATTACTATGGCAAATTAAGAGAAACATAACATTTTAAAATTTTAAATTAAATAAGTATAGAATATGTCTATTTAAGTGTATAACTCACAGTTTTTAAAACAATATGGTTGTTGAAATAAATGAAACTATTTTAAAAAATAGTAAATTTTAACATCTTTACTCTTGGTTAGAGAATTACGTTTTTGTTTTTGTTTTTATTTTTCACAATCTGTGAACTTTTAAGATTCTCTACTATGTCCATGGATCTCCTACTTTAATAATACAATTTTTTTCTAACTTACCTTGATATATCACTTTTTCTATTTAATTTTTGAGAATAAAACTTAAATAGTTCTTCATGACAGGACGGTGTGTCTCTGAAATTTCTAACAGGCATTGCTGCAGATCAGAAACCTAAAGAAAAACAAAATTTATGTTAATATACAAACTTACTCATAATACTGAATAATATATGTCATGCCAATTCACTATTTGTGGAAAAGGGTACCAAAAAGGAAAATCAAGCTTAAAAACAGCTTACTAGGGAACAATCTATATTTAAATTTAAATTGACACCTGGAAATAAAACCTACCTTTGCTTCCAAAAATCTATGTTCCTATTGTGTTACTATTGTAAGCAAATCCATTCATATAATATTTAGTCTGTGTTGTAAGTTAGCAGTTTTGTTAGCAAAACCATTGAATAAACAGCATGACATAGTAGCTAAGAAGATAGGCTATACTTAACTGCTCTGTACCTCAGTTTCCTCACCTGTAAAATGAAGGTAATATTCCTCCTGTGAGAAATAAATAGCTCAATATATGTATAAGTCATATATTGAATCAACATTTATAAAGCTTTATAGAAGTGCTTATAATCATTATTAGACTCCTATATTTTCTGTTTTTAAGGCAAATTGCTAATTTCATTTTATGTCTCTTTTCTTTTGCCATTTTGATTGTGTTCCTCAGCTTGCCGTTGCACCCAGATTTCCTTTTTCTTTTGAAGAATATATGAGCATATTTTCTGCATGTATAACTAAATCAGGGACATACCTTTGTGTTTAGTTGAATAATTAATCAGTAAAATTAATAAAATAGGTAGGTCTATTTATACTAAATTATTTTAGATTGCATTTTTTATATAAATAACTTTAAAAACATATCATTTATGTCAGTCATAATTTTGGAAGGAAACATAAGTTACACTCAAATGGGGAAATGAAAGAGGGGATTCTTTCCAAAGAGGTGGACAGAATTATAAAATAAGACAGTAAGGTTCTCAGGAGTGAGCAAGAAGAGGACAAACTATTACCACTCTTAGGACTTAAGGGGAAGAGGGACCCAGAGAGAACAGCCAGACAAGAATGGTGCTCAATAAAAAGCTTTAGCCTTTGGTCAAAGGTGCAATCTTTCTGCCTCTAAGGGGGAGCTTGAAGAGTGGGAGCTCTGCTTTCAGTTTCCTCCCACATACCAGGTCAATTATCTGCCTATGTTTCCCATTAGCTAAACCAAACTAAAAACAGAAGGCACAGGATCAAGTGGAGAAAGATGGAAAACAGATTCAAACAGCAATGGGAAAATATCCAAACAAAATGGATCATAAATGCAAAACATCCTTATCTATTGTTACTAGTGATTAGCAAGGTCTGCTTCTAATCATCCTCATCCATCTGAATGCAAAGAAAATACACTTTTAAGTCAGCAGCTGTGCTGAGCTATGTACAGAGAGGCCATTCAGAGTCAACCTAAGTTTGGTGTAAAATACAACTTGTTCCCAAACAGAATTAAGTTTTCAGAGGCATACTTTCTTTAATAGCTAACAACACCACCCTGGAACATTTCCACCTTAAGAGGAAATCACTTCAAATTCAACAAATGCAGGATAAGATACACTTAAGTACAGACCACTTAAAGAAAAATACTCAACAAATACAAATATGCAAAAAAAAAAAGCTAATTTGATAAGTCTAGTAATAAATGCTGCAAATCTGACAAGTATTTATCATGAGACATAAAATTATGAAGATAAAGTGTTTAAGCAAACTAAATAAGACAACATCTTCAAAAGAAGTAATAAAAAAAAACAGAAGGCTCTACAAGCAAGTCCACAGTTCATAACATGCTATACATTTCAGAAATATAGCTTAGAAATACAAATATGAAGAGACAAACTCCTGAATTCGGCTAAAATAATTAATGTTCAAATGGAGGAAAGGAAAAAGTACAGGGTGAAAAAATAATTTAAGGGAAATTGAAGACAAAGTGGTCTTGGTGTGCATTATGTTAGAGCTTTAAGCTGTTTGCTGTGATATTTCATAGGACTGAATATGATTTGTCATGTTTTTTTTTAAGATTTCATGAAGTAAAGAACTAATTATTTTAGTTCTTTGAATCTACTGTCCAATGATTCTTCACATCTGCTGGTAATGGTGGTCGGTATTTGCATGTTCTGCTCAACATGTGAACTTGCAACACCCTGTTGAACAGACTTGCCCAGCTTCAATGGGGAAGAAAATGTCAAATCGCTGTAAACACTTGTGAATACTGAGTCTCCAATTCTAGTTTACCTTGTTAATATATTGGGAACAATGTACAACTGACCCTACTTTGTAAACTGCTACTTTAATAGTGTTGTGACATAAAAAAATACCATTTGTGTTCCTTAATACATTTTATAGATTAGGATTTATTTTGACTAAGTAGTAGAAACAGAAACCAAATAATCTCAAATTTGCAAGAGAATAAAATGAATGTCTTCTCAAAAATGTTTCCTATACAATGTTGGAATTAAACATCCAATAGGGCAAATAAACAAGGAAAACAATATTTTAAATTATCCTACCTCTCAAAAAGCATTGACGTATAGGATCTGATATGGTTGCAACTTTCAGAAAATATTTTTGCTCTTTTCAAAGAATATTCTTCATTAGATTCTTAGTCGAGCCCCAAACTTGAACCTATCAGTAAAGGAATTACTGTAATTATCATCATCATTATCATTACATGTAACAATAGAGCTTCATTGCAGTGTGAGATATTTTGAAATTACCTTTCTAACTCCAACACAAAGTATGTAAAAATCTTGGGAAATGTAAGCATTTAATTATTTTAACATTTATTTTATAATTATTTTAACAAATATAAAGTCTGGTTTTTATTTGTAATATAATTAGCTAAACCAGCAAAGTAAATAAAAAAACTAGCATAATTTTATTACAATTTACTCATGACAAAACAGGCTTCACTGAATTTCTTTGCTCAAGATAATGCTTCTGTGAATATGGCAATAATAATAATAACCAAATCATGATATGAGTCCAAAGAAATAAGAAACTAAAAAAATTTCTACCAGTCTCTTGCAAATATATCATATGAAGTTTGATTATTTTTGAACTGCCAAAACAAAAGTATTTTATTTCTGAATATGTACCATCTAATGAAGCAATAAACATCACTCTTTAAATGCCATTTATATAAGATATGTAAGTTGAAAAACTAAAAGAAAGTATTGGATAAAAAGTTAAAAGAAGAAATATTAATCCTTTGCAATTTCTCATAATGCAGCACTCTGTGCTTCTAGGATTAAGAAAATATATTCAGTTTTCAAGACACTAGTCAACAACTGCATACAAGATGCTTACTTGAAAATATTTGTTGTGGAATGTGATGGAAATCATTATCCAAAGTACATGTATGAAGACACGAATTGGGTGTAAACATACTTTTTATATACAAACAGAGATATGAAAAATTGTGGTATATATATGTATAAGAATTGTAATGCAAAAAAGTACACATACAGAGACATGAATTGATGTGAACATACTTTATATACAAACATATGAAAAACTGTGCTCCATATGTGTAATAAGAATTGCAATGCATTCTGCTGTCATGTATTTTGAAAAAATAAAATCAATTTTAAAAATAGAAAATATTTGTTGATTCTGCAACAAACACAGACATCAGTTCAAACTGCACTTCCAGTGATATCCTAGTTCAATGTATTCAGCACTAGGTCACAATATGAAAGACAAACTCATAGAACAAATAAATATAGTAAGCTGTTTTTCATTGCACACATTGCACACATTGGCAATTTCTTTACCATATGTGAAACTTAAACACACTAGTGATAAAAAGAATTATTGTATCAGTACCTTGCTTACAAGCACAAACAGCTCTGAATGGTATAAGACTTGGAAAGAATACACTATTTTACAAATTATTAAAATTAAGTTTTGTGTAGGACAGCTTCAGTTATTGATAATTATCCTGAAATTTTCATGTAGACTCAAGAATTCATTCTAGAATGCCTCTAAAACTGAGAAATACCTACCCCAGTCAAAACCCAAAATAATGACAAAGCAGGGGGAGGGGAGCAGGACCCCCAGAGCTGCAACTTCATTGAGCTGAATTCTGCCAAACATGTGGATGAACTTAGAAGCATGTCCCTTACCAGACCACTGAGGTAAGAGCCAGTCCAGCTGGAACTTTTTCCCTCACGGTTTTGTTTTTGTTTTTTGAGGTACAATATATAAAAACTGCATGTATTTATGTTATATAATGTGATGTTTTGATACATATACACTGTGAAATGAGTACCACATCAAGTTAACTAAGATACTCATCACCTCAACTAGATATCTTTTTGGTTTGTGTGATGAGGACATACAAGACTCGTTCTCTTAGTAGTTTTAAAATATACATTATTTTAAAATATTTTTTAGTTATAGATGGATACAATAATTTTATTTCATTTACTTATTTTTAGGTGGTGCTAAGGATTGAACCCAGTGCCTCACAAGTGCTAGGCAAGAGCTCTACCACTGATCTATACAACCCCAGCTCCCAAATACACATTACTTTTAACTATAATCACCATAATGAACAATATCTGGGCACTCGCCCATCTTATCTAGCTAAAACTGTGTACCTTTGTGTAAGAGCTTCTCATTTATACCCCCTTACCACAGCCCCTGTTAACCACTTTTCTGCTCTCTGCTCCTTTCAGTTTGACTGTTTTAGATTCTACTCATCAATAAGATGATGTAGTTTTTGCCTTTCTGTGTCTGGCTTCTTTCATTTAGTGTAATGCATATTAAAAAAAAAAAGCCTTACAAATTCACCCATTTTGTCACAAATGAAAGGAATTCCTTCTCGTTTTAAGGTTGAATAATAATCCATTATGTATATATGCACAATGTTTTATTATTCACCCTTCAATGGACAGTTAGGTTAATTCCATATCTTGGATGCAAGACATGGAATAATACTGCAATGAATGTGAGAGTGCAAATATCTCTTTGACATACTGATTTCATTTCCTTTGGATATACACCTAGGGGTGGGATTGCTCCATCATATAGTAGTTCTGTTTTAAAATTTTTAAAGAACTATTTTTCCATACTAACTGTACCAACTTACATTATCACTGACAGTATACGAAAGTTACTTATCCTCACCAAAATTTTTATTAAAGTTCAACTAATTTTTTACTTTTTTTTTTTTTTTTTTTTTTTTTTGGTACAAGAGATTGAACCCAGGAGCATTTAACCCCCGAGCCACATCCTAGGCTTTATCTTTTATTTTTTTTATTTTTGAGACAGGATCTCACTAAGTTGCTTAGGGCCTAAGTTGCTGACCCTGGTTTTAAACCTGTAATCCTCCTGCCTCAGCCTCCCAAGTCTTTAGGATTACAGATGCACCCACTGAACCCACCAAACTAAATTTATTTTTGACTGATACATAAATACATAAAAATTGTACATATTAATTGGGTTCGCTTTTGATGTTTCAATTCAGGTATACATTGTATAACCAAGATAAACATATCTATGTTCTTAAACATTTATGATTTCTTTATGGAAAAAACACTCAAAATTATTTCTTTTAGCTTTTTGAGATACATGGCACTCAATTGCTATACAGAGTCACTTATTTGCAATAGCACCCCAGAATTCCTAACTGCATAATGGTACCTAATGACCAACCTTTCCTATCCCCAGCCTCCTCCTACCCTCTTCAGCCTCTGGTAATCACCATTTTCCCCTCAACTTTTACAAGAACAGTTCTTTTAAATTCCTTATATGAGTTCCAGTTGTGCAGTTCTTATATTTCTATTCCTGGCTTATTTCACTATGACTTCCATTCCCACCATATTGTTGCAAATGACAGAATTTCATTGTTTCTGTGGCTAAAGAGTATCCCACTGTGCATATGTACCTCATAGAAACATCTCCATTAAAATGACTGCACTAACATTAACATATTTCTCACATTTGGGGCACAGGGTCGCAAAGGTCTCAGGAGTTAGGGAGAGAAGGGAAAATAAGATAGATTCATCTGTGGAACTTTTCAAATAGACATACTTGATCTGATTTTCCTTAAAGAAGAAAGAGAAAAGAGACTGTAAGTAGGGGAAAATCTGGAAAGATAAAGAAGGAAGGAAAAGGGTCAAGAGAGAGGGAAGAGGAAAGGAGGAAAGAAAGAAATATCATGCATCAAACAATGCATGATACACTACCACCAGGATTCTGGCAATACCAGCCTTGGCTCTTTAAGAACTTTGAGAGAGAAGTTGGGGGTTGTGATCTTATCAAAGCTGGGGAAGGTTGTTCTTCATAACCACCTTGATTACAAAACACTTTTGTCTGACAATTTCTCGAGCAGCAGCAATTGTTCTATAAGACTGAATTTGGCAAATGGGTAAGACCCATGGATGAGGACATGAGAGGAATATAAACAGCTACATCTCAGTCTTCTATGGAAGACCTTAGTGGAGGAGCAGGGAAGCAGGAAGGTGGACAGGAAGGCAAGATACTTGGTTTCTGTGTTCATCCTCCAACCCTTACTCAATTCAGGTTTCAGTTTCCTCATCTGTAAGATGGGATGATGATACCTACTCAGCAGAGTTGCACAAGGACTGAATAAGATAAAATACTTCCCATATTATAAGGTACCAATAAGTGATAGCCATTTCATAGAGATGATGGTAAGATGAAACATATATCCTTATCCAAAAAGTATATTTTATGTTATTCATTGTTGAGCCTAAATTCTCTGAGATTTAGAAGTGGGGTGGAAGAAATTAAAGTTCAAGAAATATCTGTTAGAAGAGACTATCAAAAAGAAAATGGTATAGTTATAAGTTTAAGAGGAGGTTACATAATAGAACTATAGTCAGAAATACTAATCAATAGTATAGCTGAAATATCCAGCTTCTAATGCAGAATTTGATGAAGAGAAATTCTTGAACCACGTATTAAAACCTGCTAGAGGATAAATTTGTACCATTTTGTTTCTCAGGTCAATTATAAGGATGCAGCATGCTGACATTTGAACAAAGAAGTAAAGAGTAACATATATCACAGTCTCTAGTAACAACCAGAAGACTTAAAACCAAAGTAGAAAATTAAAATGAAGCCATAATTTTAAAAATTTCTTCTGTCATTAAATATAAGTCCCATTTCTTTTACTCTTACAGGACACTCACATTAAGTGAAAAGAGACTAACCTGAACTTGTTAAATTTAAATGTTTCACTTCTACATTAATCAAGAATTAGCCACTGTTTTTCCTGAATCAGCAAAAGATGAGGCAGAAGTAAAATGAACTTTATAGAATTAAAATTATCTTTAGGATCTAAATAGCCTTTTATTCTCTAGAGTACTCAAAACACAGAGTACTTACTGAATGTGTGTGGGGGTCAAATGGAAATAAAACCTTAAGAATAAAATTGATTATAAAAATTGGATTGCTTTCTTTTTTTAGATAAATGAAATCTTCTTTCAAATAGTGAAATTAAAGGTTTAAAAACAGTTATTTTTGACATAAACTATTTATAAGACCTAGCTCTTCATTTGCTCTAATATTCTTGGCTTCTAGAGCTTACCACCATATATGAATGCCTGCAGTCACCTTCTCTACCACTGCCAGGGATGGTTTTAATAATTTAAA